TTTTCTCCCATGCTTTTGTTGGTCAACAACCAACCGCACACAAAATTCCGATCAACAACTTGGAGGGATGGCTGAGTGGCTTAAGGCATTGGTTTGCTAAATCGACATACAAGAAGATTGTATCATGGGTTCGAATCCCATTCCCTCCGGCGCCGCGGGAGTGAAACGGACGGAAGGCCTAACTAGAAGCTATTTGGCGCCTTCCCCTCGATGAATACTTGGAAATGTGTCTTGCATCGTAAGCTGTCACTATTTCTTCCTTGGAGCAAAGCAAGTGAAGCAAGTCCAGTGAATAAAGGCGCGTAGCGGGGTTGCTTCGTTTCCACCAGGAAAACTTCGAAGTTTGTTCCGCTGTTGTGGGAATAGAATACTGGCAGGGGTAGAAGCCATCTTCTTTATTTATTCAATTCTCGCGTGGTAAAGACTATAAAAGTCATCAATCGTGCCATTTGATCCTTTCTTCGGTATTTATGGTACAATACCTCTTTCGCAGCTAATTCAATAGCTTTTTTTGCTAATGAACCCCAGAAGTCGAGCAAGAACTTGCATCTCATTCCATGAAGTGAGAAGCTCTCTTTATCTTCTCCGTCTTTATGCTTTAGTTTGTTTTCACACCGGTGGGCAAAGAAGGAAAAGACTGAGATTCATTCCCATACGGAGGTTACTAACATAACAACCCGCCTTATCCTTTCCTTTGAACAGAATTATGGGGCGCGGATGCCCAGCTTTCTTGGATGGGATAGATACAACAGGTGATTGATCTCCCATTTCTGTCATCCTTAATTTCCCAATTCCTAGCGCAGCAACTTTGACTTTTCTTGATCTTTTGCTTTTCCTTTTCGCAGGGATTTATACTTTGACTTGATAGAGGTAAGGGCTCCTGCCCAATATGTCAATATGCCAACACATGCCACACCAATATGAGTTGAGTTGGCCCTGATAAGTGGTGTTCAATCTTCCTACCCTTATATTTCAGAGGTCCTATCACCTTCATACCCCTCGAAACGTGGGTTTTCGACTATAGACATTTCGATGAGCAACCTAAAAGTAGAAGTTTATTGTGGGAGATAGATGAATCTCCAATTGATATCATCTCGAATTACGAAGATTGGTTCTTTCTTTTCATTCCGAATTAGCAGGGATATCTCCCACCTTCTATCAACAAGTCGATTATCAATTGATGATCAATTTGATTGAAGCTTTCCTCTTTCCTTTCCTATGCTGCTTCTTGCCAGGGATCTACCACCAAGTCGATATGAAACATGAAAAGTGTGATGTTGGTTTTCGTCGATCGATAGTAATTTATATAAAAGCGATGGATTTGAGTTGACGATCGAAGGTGTAAGGTAGATAATAGCGATTGTTGAGTTGAGTACGGCTTGGATCAATCCTCCCCTCGACAATTGATCAACCCTTCTCGTCTTTTTTCATTGATTAATTAATCGTTTTGAATCGATTGTGTTTCTGGTTTGAAAATATAGTCAAGTGTTCCAACATTTGAATGTTGATGTTAGCTTTTGAAGGTTAGACTGGTTAAGTGGCTACTACCGTTTTGGGTATCAATCAGGTTCAAGACCAGAAGTAGCTGAGAAAGAAAAGGATCCTCATTCCAGTCAAACCAGTGCTAGTTACTTACCCTTCAGGGGAGTGTGCTTGAGCAGTGTGCTGCAAAACGTGTCGTTCGTAATGGAAAGAAAGAGACCACTACTTCGCCTCTTTGTTGGACCGCCGGCGCGAACACAGTGGTCTCTGATCAGGACCAGGAACCAATTCGAATTTGGATCTTGACATGTTGGTGGTTTTTAACCGTAGGCATCTTGCCAGGAAGTTGGTGGGCTTATCATGAATTAGGTCGGGGTGGCTGGTGGTTTCGGGATCCCGTAGAAAATGCTTCTTTTATGCCTCGGGTATTAGCCACAGCTCGTATTCATTCTGTCATTTTACCCCTTCTTCATTCTTGGACCTCGTTTCTGAATATTGTGACTTTTCCATGCTGTGTCTCAGGAACCTTTTCAATACGGTCCGGATTGCTAGCTCCCGTTCATAGTTTTGCTACAGATGATACACGAGGAATCTTTTTATGGTGGTTCTTCCTTCTAATGACCGGCATATCTATGATTATTTTCTACCAGATGAAGCAGCAGGCATCGGTCCGTAGAACGTATAAAAAAGAAATGGTTGTGGCGCGAAGTACTCTTGTGCATCTACGTCACTCGGCTCGCGCGCAACCCCGCCCCGTTATGTTATGGAAGAATTGAACTTCTTGCTGGGCTGGTTATTCAGAGCCAGCAATTGGCTGCCGGATTTCGTCCTGCAATGAGGCAGATCGCTTCGGGGGGTCACTGTGGCGTGGCTGAATGTAGAGCAGTCCGCCCCTACAGCGTTTGATCAGTAGATTATTGAGAACTTCGGAAGATGGTCAAGGTACGAAGTGACAAGCCACTGCGCTAGATGCGCATGTGGTCGTAGTAGTCGGCTCGTCGCTACTTTGATCCAAAGAATCAGGCCTACGAGCTCTCTGTTTGGAGACAGAACAACGTGAGAAGTTCTGAGTCGTATGAAAACTAGCGGTTTGGGGGAAATAGCGATTTCTTAATAACATAGAATAAACAAGCTTGCTTGGCAGACTGGAAGATAAAGGCAAGCGGCAACATAGAGTACCTTGACCTGCTCGCTGGGGACATAAGGATTGACATGTGCCGAGACAGCTGTCCCGCGGATTAAGGAATCCGCAAAGGCTAATGCCATAAGACGAGCAAGACTAAAGAAAGAGAAGATCGGTCCTCGTCCACTCGGAAAGCTTTTTCTCATCATAGGGGGGCGGAGACGGTTAGTCAGCATTCCACTACCAACGAGCAGCAAACTCCTTGCGACTCTAATTGAGAAAAACCCAACAAAACAACAGCCACCCTCCCTAGGTGTAAGATAATAGGGCTTGATGCCTAGCGGCTTCCTTTTACGGGTTGTCTACCGATCTCACAGGTTTACACCTTTTAGGAATGAATGCTCCACGAGTCGTGATGCTTTGATTGTCGTCTTTCGAATTCAGGATTTGTCTGGCTAATAAACTAAACATCATCCTTCAGTCCGCGCCGGCATTCCAGAACGAATTCTTATCGCTTAGCACAAGCGCTAACCCTGACAAGGCCCTACATCGCATATGCAGTTGGAGTGGTTAGTCGATTCATGCAAAATCCAAAGAAACCTCACTTTCGACGAATATTGAGGTACATGAAAGGGGTTCCTCCTTGACTATGGTCTTCTGTATAAGAAAGGAGAACAGTGTAAGATAGTTGGCTATTGTGACGCCGACTATGCTGGTGATCACGACACGCGTCGATCAACAACTGGAAACGTGTTCAGGCTTGGTTTAGGAGCAGTTTGTCTTTGAAAAGTAAGCGGTGTTTTAGCCGTAACCCTTGTTGGAAGAGAATACCACGTAGGAGTTCAAACTCCCCTGCTCATCCATCTTCATGGAAAAGGCGAACATTTCAATTGAGTGACTGTAACTGGTCTAAAAGCCTCTGCTAAAGATCGTCTTCCTAGCAAAATGACATTCTCCTAACTGAGAGAGTCAAGGGCAGCTCTTACCCTGCCAAGCCAATCTAGATGTCTTACGCATAACACAAGCTAAGCCGCTTCCAGTGAAAGCAGTAGTGAGGTAGCTCAATAAACCTAGCAAACACCGGCTAGATAAGTGGGGCAGGCTGCTAACTCAGGGGATTCTTTGTCGATAGAAGGCATTCGCGAAAGTCGCCGATGAAGAGAAGCTTTACTAAAAGAGGGCTTCTCATTATGTGGATACAAAGGCTTCAAGTGGTGCGGTTCCCACAGGTAAGAGAATCTACTCCTCCCGATTCAAGCACTCCCGCCCACCTTCAAGTTGGAGATCGACAGTTTCCATAGTCCCAACACCATTCTACCACCCGAGAATGCTCGTCAAACCTTCTGTATGTCGTCAACGGTAGAACTCCTCGGGCATCCGTTCTTGCTTCTGGCAGGAGTGTGATTCGATCCGATGAGAGAGATAGGGGTCATCCCCGAGTGGACGAGCAGAAGGAGATTCCCGGATGACAGGCCTGGGGCAAAACTCTTCAGACTGGCGCTTTCAACCTTCGAAAGTCTGAGAGATGAAAGAGTGGATTTCGCCGGATCTATAGAACTCTCTAGTGAAGAGCCATCCCTATCAGTAGTGATTGATTCCCCTTGGGATCTGAAAAGTCCATTTTCTATTAGCCGAGGTGAGCCATATTCTCTAAATACCAGAGAGCCGGAGTGGACTGCTTTCGAACGACAGGCTGATGAAAAGAAGCCTAAGTCAGCGACTGAACATCGCCTTGGGACAGAAAGAGAGAGAAGGGCGAGTACTTCCTAAATAGAAGATCCAGATCTTGGAGCACCTAATCTCCCAGGAGAGGAAGAGAAACAAAGGTACTCAGCCTCCTGGGGCAGGAGCGACAGAATGAACCTCCTCCAATGGAGCAGGATAAGAAGTGAAGCTAAAAGTGAGCGTGGTAGAATCTCTCGATAATTGTCCCCAAACTGTGGAAAGCCCATACCCAGATATGTATATTCACCGGACTTAGCAGCTTCCTCGAAGAGTTTGACGAGATGGTTAGTAGATTAGAGAAAGCTACTGGCTCAATAAATAGTGTAGATAAGGTGCTCGAATAAGCTCGATACGCAAGAAAGGGAAGATAGATGCAGGTAAGTCACCCCTGTTGTCACTCTTCTTTTGATGCATCAAGGCCAAAGAAAGAGATCTGATCGCATTGCTTTAGAGGTCTGATCGCCTAACCTTCAATAGACTCTCCCTACCTCACTTCCTCTCGGTGAAATCTTTCTTTGTTCTATTGTTAGGTGTGTGCTGAATGGGAGGAATGCCAAGGTTAACCCACTTGCTTCACTAACAGAGAAAAGGGTACCCGAAAACAGATATCAACACACTAGTATCCTTCCCTAAACAAAACAGGGGTATTAGGACCAGTTGCTGCGTGTTTTCCTTCTACCATCGGTGTGCCAAAGGTGTGCTGAGCTTGCTAGATTTGGTAACTTGTCTCGGAAGCTCGTATGCGACATCTCTGTGTTGAATCGATTGGATTGAATACAGAGCCTGGTGACTCAGCTAGTGGTGGATCCTTTGAGGAGGTTCCATTCCTCTAGTCTCTATGAAGGACTTGGGCTTGCAAGGGTGAGCTGTTGCGGATAGATTGTTCTGAAGACTGGCTCGTCTGGTTCGTTGCGGATGGCTTGTTCATCCTTTACTGCCTAATACCTTTCTTCTAAGCTTTCTTTTTTTCTCTGCTGAAGCCAACTCCTAGCGAAGCAAGGCAGTTCCTACTCTTCTTTGGCAAAACTGGCTAACAAGTACTCCGCCGCTTAGCTCTTTCCCGGCTAAGAGTTCTATATATGCTATAAGGTGTTAGGTAATCCTTAGTTCTTTCCTTAGTTATTATAAGGGTCAAACCAACTCTCCCGTTTTCCCAACACTATTAATATTCCTACGCATGACCAGAGTTATGCCTTTGCTGGCTGGCTAGGAACTCTTACTTTAAAGGGTTTTCATAAATAGGATAATCTGTATTCCTAAGTATGCATGTACTCTTGTTAGCACACTCCTCTGCTTTGCTTTTCCGATGCTTTGATTGGCACTTTGTTTTCAGCATACTAACCCAGCACAACACAGAGCTGTATTCCTAGGGTTCTGGCAATTAATAACTGTGCTGTAGTAGACTTCTTCTGGTTTTTCTAGGATGAAGGTAGAGGACTCAGGTGCCTTGTTCAGCACACTCTGATATGATATTCTCAGGAAGAAGGGTGTGTGCTACACTTTCCTTGTGATCAGCACACAAAAGCACACCCAAGAAATCGACTGAAGTTTCTTCTTCTGCTTTTCCTAGTGAAGCAATGCTTCTTCCTTCTCGGTACTCATCTGCTTGACTCTTATCAGTACACTTTTATACGTGAGCACGCATGGCATGCAATAAAAGGAGTTCTCCTCCTAGCGCAGCAACCTCTCACTCTTTTCAGTTTAGAATTCATACGCTTCTCCGTAGCACATCCCTCTGTGCTCTACCCTTCTGGGTTTAATCCAGCACACAGCTTGACTTCTTTGTTTAAGGTTGGATTGGGGTTTGCACACACCTCTACTAAGCCTCTAAGCTTAGGCAAATGTCCTAGTTGAAGGAGAAGTGTTAGGTGCAGCACACACAGGATTCCACTATAGGAAACTCTCGATTGGCAGTAAGTCACTTTTGAGCCAAGGGCAATAAAGAAAAAATAGTAGTTTACAGGGCTTTTTTTACCCCAGCGGAGTATTAGCCAGTTACCTCTTAGCCTTTTAAGGTTCCTTAACAAAGCGCTTCTCTTCTTACTCTTATTCCTAAGGCTATATATGAAATCAGAAGAGGGCAGCTGCACCTTAGTGTGCTGGAGAAATCTTACAACTTCCCTTCTGGCTAAGAATTCCATGAGTGTGCTTTGCTTCGCTATAAAAGGAAGGACTAGCTTGGCTAAGTGATCGGCTAATGCAGCTTGTAGCTCCAGTTTAAAGATTCTTCTTATATACGGAAATTTCACTATTCCCCCCCCCCCCCCTAGATGAATGACCCCCCCTGTTTTTACAAACGCGTTTTTATACGGTTTTTTTTATTGCTGGTTCATATAAGATTCGTTTTGTTGATAGTGGTCCTAATATTGGGTGTTTTTAGAAAGGTTTTAATGGAGCGATTGATGGAATCCACCGCACGTGTGTCATTAATACTACTTTCTACGGAGGTCGCCTTTAAAATCGAGCGGAGGAAAGACTGAATCGGTGTCATGTAGAGAGAGTCCATCATTGTCCTTAAGACTGAATCGGTGTCATGTAGAGAGAATCCACCACCATTGTTAGCATCGGAAGGAGTCAGAATCTTAGCGAAGGTAATAACCTTATTCTCCTCAACATCGCCTTCATATCTCCCAAATTTAGAGAGATTAGTAGGGATAAAGTGCTCAGGAGCCATCGGTTGAAGGACGAGATGAGCGAAAACCTCGTCAGTGATCGGATCGGCGAGTAATTCGATGGAAGAGACGAGACATGGAACAGGAGGGGTAGAGGAAAAAGAGATGAGAGGCGATGAAGCGCAACAGTGTTCGACATGGCCTTGAGGGAAGTAATAAACCCTAGAATAGAGAGAAGGGATCTGAACAGAAGCGCCTGCACAAGCACGCCAGATCCTTGGATCGACTTCACGGAGGATGTCACCGGCGGTTGATTCCGACGGCGGGGACATAGGCGAGGTCGTTATTCACTGCAACGAAGTAAGCGAAGAAGAAGAAGAAAAGGTAGGTACTGTTAAGTGTTAGAGAGAGAGAGAAAGAGACCGTAATGTCTGAGAGAAAGATAGAGAGAGATTGAAAACGGAAGCAAGCGGAGGGATAGGAGAAGAGAGAAGAGAGATTGTAGCGATTTACTGTATCTGAGTGCAACACAAACAATACTAAGACCAAGATCTTCCTACTTCTTTTTCCAATGTATCTTTGTTGAAGATGAATCTCAAACAACAAAACTCAGGGATATGGCATTCATTTGAAAATGAACTAACGAATACTGCTTCCAATCAACATATTTCGATTTCAAACCAAGAATCCAGCACACCTCAACACAGCAATCCAAACTTGACACAACCTCATATTCCAAATCCAAATTAACATTCGATTCTATATTATCCCATCAGCTCAACATCAGAGGAATAGTGAAGGGAATCTTATACCTGAAGCTGGTTCCAAGGAGATACACGCCATGGACCAATGTAGAGGAGATAATCCCCTGAAACCAAGTAATCCGCGAAGAGTCTTCAGTCTCCATGGCCATCTTCACTCTAATACCAGGAATTTTTAATATAGCTATGGAAGCCTCAACATCTTCTGCCTTCACCACGAAATCTGACCATCCAGCCATAGGATAATAAACCACCTCAAACGGCAAACCCTGAGCTGCTCGCCTCAGAGACAGTTTCAGCCATTAATTTCCCTTTTCAAGTCCTCCTAATCTTGTTCTGAGCCAGGATCAAAATGAAGGGATCCGATCCAGCCATAGGGGAACCTATGGCTACCTTGTTACGACTTCAAATTTGCGTTTTATAAAGTTTGATTATGGGCCCCCTCCAAAGATTTTTATTACCATACAAAAAAACATCAAAAGATTCCACCCGGACAAACCCTCGTTTTGCGGTGGCAATCCAGGAGTGGTCCAATCAAATAACCACTCAAAAAACTGTTCGACTGTTAAGCTTTGAAATCGCTCGGTAGTCATATGTTTCAGATCTTTGAAACACCAAAAGTAAAGAGTCCCACCGAACACTAGAGTGTAGTTAATGATCCGCTTAACTATGATCCAAATGAGATCTCTTATGATTCCCCCAAAAAAAGATATGACTTTTTTGATCCAAGAGAAGGCAGTGATATGCCATTTTTTTTTTCGATTTTGTCCTTCTCTTCGGAGATTTTTGATCATATGTCTGTTTCTCATTTCTATTTAAAGAGATTTTCCGTTTTGTTGGAATTGGATCGGTCAATTTGACTTTCTTTTTGGCATTTCTTTATAATTGTTGAAGCTTTTCCACTTCTATCTCGCCTGAGGAAAAAATAACTTCGAATCCGTTTTCAGTCAACAATCGAGCCCACATTCCTATCCCTTTGATCGCCTGAACCTCCAAGTCCTTCGAGCTTACTTCTGGGAAGAGGGCTTTTATTTTTAATGAATAGTTGTGTTTTGCTGCATTTTGTGACCAAAGTCCTATTTTATAGGTCAAAGTAGATCGGGTGTTCAGGTTTTTTCTCTCAGAGACAACAATTGATCGCCACAAGAACTCTTTAGAAAAACGTGCCTCGACGTCTGATCCCAGCATTTTTTTTTCTTTTTGGTTTAGAGAAATTATGATATATTCTCTTAATACAGCTTTCGTCAATTTTTGCATTTTGGTTTTTTTCTGTTGAATTTCCGACATTTTTAATATTTCTGATACGAAATTCAAATGTTATTTTGATCTAGCACTTTGACGATTTACCGAAAAAGCTTTGTTTTCTTCTTTACTTTTAAGTAAAGAAGAAAGGCTTAGAAACGGTTGAATTGGACTTTTAGTTACTGTTTCAACATGTCCGATTCGACGTTAGCTCCCCCTTTACAAAAAACTCGGATTTCACTTAGCAAAACAACCCAATTTTGTACTTGATGTGCATCTTGATCATCCACCCAGAAGGAGTTTAGAGTTAGAGGTGGTCCGCTATATAATTCCTATACAATCTTCTTCTTATTATACGATATTTTTTTTCTTAAAATCGGGAGATAATCCTAACATAATAGTTAGATCCAATCTTGGACACTGGAGACCTGTTTCGCGAGTTCATACAGGATTAGACGTGGCGAAGAATTGCTTCGCTTTTAAGGGGTCTAGGATAGGAGAGATGAAAGCTTCATTCACCAGTTGCTTCTATTAAGCTTACCACTGATCTACGAAAACCAGCATCACACTTTTATGAAATCGACGACCACTCAACAAAGTCTCGACAATACACCCAAATAATCACAACTTCTTCTTCGCTACTTTTAGTATTCGGATAAACACTCGGACAGTATTGACAAATCGCGTGTGTTAAGCATCCTACTCTATCTGCTAATCAGTCCCAAGGGACTCAATAATCAGTCCTATAGTACTTGCGCGAACCTTCCATTCTGCAAAAAACACTTCTTTATTAAACCCGACATCCATTCAATACTTCGGCACTACTTTCATACTAGTTCACTACTTGCAAACTACTTTCATACTTGCACCCAGTAGACACATTCAAATACTTCACTTCTTCCACCCATTCCACACATTCCAATACTACACTTCTCGACACCCAGTAGCCCTATTCAGACATATCATCCTTTAGAGGCAGAAACAGATAGTCTAGCAGAAAAGGGGTAGGGGGGACAAGGAAAGCAATCAACTCCTAGATAAGAATACGCTTACCATGATACTTTCCCTGATAACTCTCCTAAAATGAAGAAGAGATTTACCAGCAGATCTACCAAGGCATATCCGCGTACCAGCTTCTGGTTAACAACCAAGGATGAACTGGCCGGGCAACAGTCTGGCCTTCTTCTTTGCTCTTCAATCGATGCCTAACTCAAGCTTGTCCATAGAACTTGCTCCGCTAAGCGACTAGCTGCCTTCTTTCCTAAGTCCGTAGCTCCCCGTTTTCACTTAGCCTACGAACTACAACGCGTCTTACTGGAAGAAGAACTCCAGGTTGGCTCGAAGATGCCAACAGCATTCCGTTCACTTTCGCAATATTCACTTGTTTACTTGTTAGCTAGGGCAAAAATAGAGAGGTTATTCTGTCTGATCAGCTTTCTAATCTCAGCCTGTTTGTTTATACTCCGTGTTTAGTCCGAATATATTCCAGCAACCAAAATTGGTACAGAATGGACTTACCTTTGCTTCTGAGAAGAAAGGCCACTACCCCCTGGGCTTTCTTCTTACTTTTCTTCTTGCTGCTCTTAAGGTCTTGAGAAGAACCTTCTTTATTTTTGATGAGAAGGGCAATTTTGAGCTTTCTCGGCTTAACGACTCTTTCTTCGAACCTTTTGGTATGTATTGCCCCATAACTATAGATCAGATCCACCAGACGAGAAACTAAATTCCGCACTGCTGCTGAGTCGTCGGACTTATCCACCAAGGGATTCGTGGAATTTCTGTGAATTGCGTTGGGGGAAATCTACCAAAGCTAGGCAGATAGATAGACTCCTTTCCCGCTGCTAAGGGAGAGCAAGAAATAAAATCAAATTCTTTTTTTTTATTAGCGCCTCCTTTTGGGTATGCCGATACTAAGAGTCCTCTCACTACCAACCAGCAGACATCATCTGGCTGGGTCTTGCCGGTATCAACAACGAGAAAAAAACAACCAAATGGAAACAGCAACTAACTATGACTCTTGGCCCAGACAACGTCCTAGGCGTAGGGTAGATCGGAGCAAGAGGGAACGCCTAGACGACGTTTTTCTTCCTGGGCTGCTGTAAGTAGATCGAGAGGTCGTTCCGCCCCTTGTCCCCGAAGATGGGTAATATGTTCTCAAAAAATATTGCTTCAATCTGACCTAGCTGGCGAGCGATCCCAGTTCGCGGCAGAGAACAAGACAGCAAGCGAGCGTACCTTTGTTCGCTTCTTCTCCACCAAGCACGGAAGTTTAAGGATAACTGTAGGTCGGTGGCTACCTAAGGAAACTCCGATTCGATCCGCCCCCCGGCTGGGAGGCATTTACCTCATCCCGATCACAAGGAGAGGTTCACCATGATGGGGGTACTTCTAATTTTCCTTTCTGGAAAGAATGAAATGCATAGGGGACCATCCTTTTGTTGCGGCATGCTCCTCAGATTTACGGATTCGCAGGGGGCGGAACGACCTACTTAGTTGACTGACAATGACAAAGGCTTGCGAAACTAAGTAGGGCCTTTTGAATTGAATCTTTAGTAGTCTATCAGTGGTGCGAAGAGAAACATATCTTTTTATGACTTCTACTTATCGATCCCGGCCCGGAAAAGTGAGCGACCGGGTTTATAAAGACTGGTTCGAAAGGCGCGTCTAGCCCTCTTGATGAATGAAAGAAAGGGTTTCTGAGCCCTAGCCCTGTAAGCCCACACCTGTGTAGAGTAGATCGTTCAACACCTGCGGCACAAACCAATTTTTGACCTATTGGTCCTAGTCTCATAGGCGACCGAACGGCCGCCCCCCTAATTACTAGACCGACCCGCTATAATAATTCCATAAACACCTAGCGAAGATATGGCAAACAAATAAAGTAGCCCTATGTTCGGATCTGACAATACCATACCATAATCAAAAGGTACAACGGCCCGAGCGACCAGACTTAACATAAATGTAGCCACTGGAGCCATTCTAAAAAGGAAAAAATTAGCACTACTTGGTGAAATAGGTTCTTTTAGAATCAATTTCGAACCATCTGCTAGAGGTTGTAACAATCCGAACGATCCCACTACATCAGGACCCTTTCTACGTTGCACAAAAGCCATTACTTTACGTTCAGCTAGCACTAAAAAGGCTACTCCTAGTAGAAGTGGTAGAATTATTCCAAGTATTTCAGCTGGAACAGCTATGTACGTTTTCGATTTTTTATTTACTCATGATCTGGCCTGGTCGACCCAATCATGATATTGAAGGATGGGACCTTTTCTCGAAAAACTCCCGATACCGAGAAGAGTTGAAGATGGTGCAACATTGAATCCTCTTACCTTACTTCGAATGGAATCTTAGCCCGCCTCACTTGCTTTCTTTACTGCATAAGGGCATAAACAAAGTCAAGGGATTGATGAAATTACTCGACTAAAAGGAGAGGTCCAACGTAATTTATTACTCGACTGAAAGGAGAGGGAACTCGAGCATTTCTTGCGATAGGTACTTTAGTAACTCGACTAAAAGGAGAGGAAAGCTTTCACTGCCGGGTATCTCCTCCGA